GGGGGTCGTTTCCAAAACTGGCCTTAACCTTTAACTAGAATCACTGTTACAACTGTTTCCTTGAAGGGTGCATGTACCCAAAGTTGAATATGACAATGAGACAAAGACTTTTAAAAGCTGTGAAATTTGACTCTTGAGAGTTACTTTAGGATAATTGTTCTGAATCCTCGTGTCACAGAAGGGGTTGATTTTCTTCACATGTAATAAACTGGGACAGATGTTACTATGGGAACAACATGACACTCTTCAATGATGTCACAATGGGAGGTGAAAGTGAAATAAAGCACATCTTCAACTCTCTTAGTCTTAGGAACAGACCCCATGATAATGGATCTTTAAAGGGATCCTGTAACTTTGCCTCAGATTCTGAAACAATATCCTGGATTTAGCTCATACTGCAATCACAATTATAAACCGTTAGGTCAGTCAGAAAACCAATGACTTTTACAAGCCGATCGCCTGTCTGATTATCAAGATATTTATGATTGGAAATCCAAATTTCATTTTTTGTTTTCCTTTTTATAACACTGCAGTCTATTGGGAAAAATGAGTAAGGTAAAACCGGTCACTCAAAGATTTTTACTTTTTTGAGGCACTTCATGATCATTTTGAAGTGCAATTTTTTTAGGGCCTCAATATTATACCATATCACAGACACTGATAACATATAGGGCCATGCATCTCAGATTTAATATTGTTAAACGATGCCTTTAATAAATAACAACTATTAGAAACAACTGAGACAGCATTGCAATGTATCAGGAAAAAAGATTACTTGTTATGTACACCACAAGGGAACAAAGAGTGAATTTTAATAGGCAAATTCAAGCTCATAAACTCTTGATGCGATACATGTATTTTTTAATGATGAGTGGGATAGGGAAGTTCGGGGATGGCACATTTACTTCGTAATTGACTTTCTTGCATCAACGCAAAGAATATTTGCACATGTTATGTTAATTATGTGTACATGTACACATATTTTAAATGCATATAAGCAATTTGACTATATTTTGAAGCATTTCTTCCCCTTTCCTATGAAGCTTCCTCTTGAAGATATATAATTTCCTTCCTTCTTTTATTTGCATTCCTGTTTATTATTTTATTTGTTATATTTATTATTTATCTTCCTGCACCTCTACCTTTTCTCTTTTATTTGTTATTATACTACTTGTGGATACACTCTAAAAGGCTACATTGAATGTAGAAGATAATAGAATAATTTGCTGAGGCAAAAAAATCAGAACAGATCAAAAAAGCAAAACAAAAACAAAATGAAACAAATTTAGAGTCAATATGTAGCCTTGTATTGCTTGCTTGTTAGGTACCTTGTTTCTACCAGACATTGGCAATCAAGTCTTGGATTATTCCACAATAACAAAATTAAAAATATCTTTTTCATTTAAATTCCCTTTAGGGTCTGCATTCCAAGACTAGGTCCATCTGCCCTATATTTTTAAAGCTAGTGAGAGTGATATCTGGGCAGTGGATCTATAACAAAACACAACCTCAAATTGGTTTCCCCTTCTATAAATGTCATTAGTTGTAATTCACCCAAAATGAGATTTCACTTCTCGGATATTGAAGGTCTGTTTTTCCTTCTCCACTTGGATGCAGCTGGCGTGAGTCTTGGAGATACAAATTACTTTCTATTTTCAATGTGTACTTTTGTCTGTACAGGCTTCTAGTGCTTCTGAGTTGTGTCTTCATAGTTCAAATCACTATGAACATGACGGACAAAGAAAGAGGACAAAATATATAGTTCCTCATTCTACCCTCAACAATGGCTGTGGTAGACAAAGGAACATCCCTTCACTGCTATTATGTAAAAATGTGTAGAACAGGTGAATATGCATGTGACACCTGTTCTAAAGATTTTTATGCCTCCGCCACCGAAGGTGGTGCCGGAGGCATCATGTTTTCGGGTTGTCCGTCCGTACGTCCGTCCGTCCGTACGTCCGTCCCGTTTGACCGTTATCACAATATCTCAAGAACCATTTAAGATTTAAACTTAAGACTCGGGAATAGTATTTATCACCATAGGAAGACGATCTGATTAGATTTTGGAGTATGTAGGTCAAAGGTCACAGGTCACAGAGGTCAACTTATGAAATTCCTTGTATTGAGTTTGTTAGCGCGATATCTCAAGAACCATTTGAGATTTAAACTTCAAACTTAAGGATAGTATGTATCACCATAGGAAGACGATCTGATTAGATTTTGGAGCACGTATGTCAAAGGTCAAGGGTCACAGAGGTCAACTTATGAAATTCCATACATTGAGATTGTTATCATGATATCTCAAGAACCACTGGAGATTTAAACTTCAAACTTAGTGATAGTGTGTATCACTATAGGAAAACAATCTGATTACATTTTGGAGCACGTAGGTCAAAGGTCAAGGGTCATAGAGGTCAACTTATGAAATTCCATACATTGAGATTGTTATCATGATATCTCAAGAACCACTGGAGATGTAAAAACTTCAAACTTAAGGATAGTATGTATCACCATAGGAAGACGATCTGAGTAGATTTTGGAGCACGTAGGTCAAAGGTCAAGGGTCACAGAGGTCAACTTATGAAATTCCATACATTGAGATTGTTATCATAATATCTCAAGAACCACTGGAGATTTAAACTTCAAACTTAATGATAGTGTGTATCACCATAGGAAGACAATCTGATTAGATTTTGGAGCACGTAGGTCAAAGGTCAAGGGTCACAGAGGTCAACTTATGAAATTCCATACATTGAGATTGTTATCATGATATCTCAAGAACCACTGGAGATTTAAACTCCAAACTTGTTTAAATTGCTCTATGGCGGAGGCATCATTTTCGACTGCGCGCAGTCAAAATTCCATCTAGTTACATAATGGCAGTGAAGGGATGTTCCTTTGTCTACCACAGCAATTGTTGAGGGTAGAATGAGGAACTGTATATTTTGTCCTCTTTCTTTCTTTGTCCGTCATGTTCATAGTGAATGTCTTACACAGTGTTTTGTGTTATAGGCCTAAATGCATAAAAGCTTTTAAACTTGTATCAAATAGAGTGTAGTCTATGGATAGTCTTAATTGACAAAATAGTCAAACCTGTCTATAACAACCGTTCAAGGGAAACACAAAATGTGGCCTTTGTAGAAAGGTGATCTTTGTAGACAGGTTCCTTTGGTACATGATTCAATGAGAAACATTTTTCAAGGGAAACAATAAATGTTGCTTTTGTAGACAGGTGGTCTTTGTAGACAGGTGGTCACTAAAGCAGGTTTGACTGTATTACAGCTGGCAGCTGTAACTACTTATTAAATCTAAATCTGTACTTACATAATTTGTATATACATTGACTTTTTGTGTATGTAGAGTAGTACTTGTATGTCCCTCTTAAATAGGCCTAAGACTAGTTTCAGGACTGCTTTATCCACTAATTAACTTGGATCCCTCTGATTAATGTAATAAACACGACCCTCTCCTTTTAAAGCTTATCTGACGTAGTTTACAGGAGGGATTAGACTGCCCTGCAAGGTCACTGGACAGGTGGTTATCTCATCAACTCAGCTCTCAGTTAACATAAGAAAAAGAGGAACATGGGGGACCAATGGTCACCGATTAGGCATTGTTTGTTATATAGAGGGCGCAAGTAGCTCCAAGTAGTGCAGTGGGCCTTTAAAATGTACCAGTACTGTACAGGAGTCATATGCTCCCTGGTATAGTGGACACAAATTTATGTGCATTTATGTATACTGTGTTCATAATAGGTCTCTCTGGCATTTACCCTGTAATATGTAAATATCCAAACATTGTCCTGAATGTTGATTTCCATAGCACACTCTACCCTCTTTCTCTGTCTGTATACAGGGGAGTGTTTCACAAAGATCCTAAGTTGAACTTATCTCTAAGTTGGACTTAAAAATTATGGAGAGCCATTTGTAGCCTTGAAATAAAATATATTCAAAAGTGAAAATTCAAGTATTTTAGATTTTCCATAAATTTCACATCAAGAACATGAACTTTCCCATGATATTTAAAAATATGAATGATTTGAATCAACATTTTATGCCTTTTAGAATAATTTTAGACAAATATTTTCAAAGGTGCTAACGGCTTTCCATAATTGTTAAGTCCAACTTGGAGATCAAAGTTCAACTTGGGATTTTTGTGAAACACCCCCCCCCCCCTGGTCCTTTTCAACCCTATCCTGTCTTCACAAGTTCAAATACACAGGATTCTGCAATGTAATAATAGAAATAGATTCATGATCTGTGTCTCTGTGTACATTGCGGATCTCTGAAGCATTTCCCCATTATGATTGTGTAAAATGATTGAACGTTGTACATGATTTCAAGGTTCATTTCACCCATTGAGCAAATATATAGATCGCAGATTCAAGTCTCGGTCTGTGCTATGTTCCCACGGACCTAATGAAGTGTAGGCTTTTGGGCACATTATCAATATTAATAAATACATGTATTAGCCCATTTTAATATTTTGTTTGGTATAAGATATGATTGTGAAGCAGTTAATATGGAGACAGACAAATTGACATGTAGGCTAATTGTTCTGAGCCAAAATTAGAAAGAGAGAGGGAGAGAGAGAGAGACAGAGAGAGAGAGAGAGAGAGAGAGAGAGAGACAGAGAGAGAGAGAGAGAAGAAAAGGATGAGATAGAAATAGAAAGAAAAAGAGAGAAAGAGAAAGGAAACAAAGAGAGAAAGAGAAAGATTAAAAAAAGAGAAAAATTAAAGAGAGAAGGAGAAAGAGATGGAGAGAGAGAAAGGGGACTGGGAAAAACAAAAATATAAAAATATGAAGGTTGGAGAGTGGAGACTACAAGGCTACATAATGAGTATGAATTTCATCTGCTCACCTGACATGAAGAGGGAAACCATTTACAGACAACAGACAGAGAGAGAGAGATAGAAAGAGAGATAGAGAGAGAGAGAGACAGCGGAGATAGATAGAGAGATAGAGAGAGAGAGAGAGAGAGGGAGGCAAAGGGAGAGAGAGAGAGAGAGAGAGAGAGAGAGAGAGAACAAAACTCCTGAAGTAAGTCTATGAAGATAAAAACGGCTGCATACTGGGAAGGAGACTAGCTAGACAGCACACAGTTGTGCACTCAGCCAATACAGCAAGTAGCCGGTAGGATAGGGAGTAATAGCATTACAGCATTACAAAGTGTCACAGAGCGTACGTACGTGCATCGCTCCTAACCACTGCTGGTAACTAGGAGTGCGTTGCAGGAGTGAACGGATGAGGGGGTCGTGAGCAGGAGATTGGAGAGAGCTGTGGTTGCTACTCGCTGGGTTAGGTTATCTGAGAGGCGGAGAGGAGGAGACCTGTAGATGTTCCTCAAGAGGAGGTATTTGATTTGATGCTGGAGTGGTGTCATCTGTGAGTTTGCAGAGGAATACAAGGATTATTTTTAAGACACAGTTTGACATCATATTATGGTAAGTGGATTTACTAGTTTAAAGGCCCACTGCACTACTTGTAGCTACTTGCGCCCTCTATATAACAAACAATGCCTAATCGGTGACCATTGGTCCCCCATGATGCTCTTTTTCTTATGTTAACTGAGAGCTGAGTTGATGAGATAACCACCTGTCCAGTGACCTTGCAGGGCGGTCTAATCCCTCCTGTAAACTATGGCAGATAAGCTTTAATATGATGCACAAGCTGTGCTAGCTATAACACGGGTTGGAATTGTGGTATGCAGTTGTACTGGTCATTATTGTATGCAGGGATTATTATGGCTTTTTAGATGCAATCACACAATTTAGAAATGTATTATGTTAAATGGTTCTACTGGTTAAGTTTGATGCATGGGTTACTATATTAAATCACAATTTGGAAATACATTATTATGGTAAATCTGTACAAAAAACCAGTCATTTATTATGGTGGTCTTCTCCTTTAAGTGATGCAGGGCTTTGTTGTTAGGCAGAGGGAGAGAGAGAAAAGAGAGAGAGAGAGAAAAGAGAGAGAGAAGAGAGAGAGAGAGAGAGAGAGGGGGGATGTAGCAAAGAAAAAGGATAACATTTACATATTGTGCATGGAGATAAACAAATTATGGATTAATTCAATTTATAGAGTTAAACCTGGTTTAGTTTAGCAGGCAAATTAATTGTGACATGAGCTCTTTAAGAGCGTATAACGAAGGAGAGAATCCTTAGTGTGACTCACGATGACTGTCTGCAACACGACAGTAAGAAATGCCCCTCCCCCCTCACCAGTTGGTAGACAAAAATCAATGTCCCTCGCTTGGCGATGCATATTGATGAAATGGATTGTGAAACACTCATAAGATACACATGTGCAACAGTTGGATAGTGAGCGCTACTTTAGACTTTTGAACTGGTTCATTAAAAAAAAAACATGGCATGCAGCTCAAGGTTTATATTGTCTTTTTCTACAAAGTATTCAGATATTTACATTATAATACAAACAGCAAAATCCAAAAGCATTATAACTAAATGACAATGCTAACATCACACAGCGATAGGATAAAAGATCTAGAAAAATGTATTAAAGATGTAGATAAGTACTGACAGGTATTAAAATAATAAAGGCTATGTCTTTACATATTCAAGACTTAGTCTTAAAATTATGACATAATATTTGACTTTGACTTTGCTGGAAGATAGAATGATTTTTTTAATATCAAGTTTCAATATGGGGTGAATTTGATAGAGATAACTCTTGATGGTAGTTAAGGATATAAGCCTTTAGCTAATACATGTATTTGAAACCTACAACCTTGTGTAGTAAATGTCAAAAGTAATTTGTTTCTAATGTTCCTATAATTTGTTTTGGTGTGCGTATTAATTGCTGGTGTTAGAGCAGACTAATTTGAAGTTTAGAATTCAGAGAAATGAAGTATTTGCAACTTCCGTTCAAAGAAAATGTTTTTCTTACAGTGATTGCATCTATATATCAACAAACAGCATACCACTTTGCTCTCTTTAGTTTTCTAGCCCTGTAGAAAATATGTAACTTTCAGTTTCTTGTGAAAATGTTATGAAATTGTTTCTTTGTTTGTTAGTTTGTTTATTTTCCTCCGAGGCCTTTTTTACTTTTGTTGAGCTAGCCTCTCAATGCCCTTTTTGCATAAAACATAAAACCATTGAAGGATAACTTTGCCATTAATGGTAACTTCCATGGAAACATTATTTTGATTGGCTGTTGAGTGATGTTGCCACAATGGTAGTTACCATTAAAGGTAAAGACCAGTATTGGAAATGCCCCAATTTCAAAAAATAAAATGGAAGCTCTCATTACCAATCATGTGAAAGAATATGTTTTGACTAATACATGATGATAAAAAATTTGCCGGGAAACCGCCTACTAATTCATATATTTGGTAAATTTGTTTCTCTCATGGTCTGTGAGAGATATAGGGTAGTCCCATATACATCTTTCTGTGTATAGTGCTTGTAACTTTACGAAGAATGGGCCAAATTTCTTATCATTTTGATGATTCCAGAACCTTGCAGATGCTAGATGCTAGATGATCAAGCTTTTCTGATCGATTCCACAACGTTTCTTTCACAATGCAATCGCATGACCATAATTGGTCTTTACCTTTAACAGCAAGGTAAATGGTAAATTTACTATCAATGGTAAATGTTATGCAAAGGGGCAGAGGAAGCTGCATTCCCTGCTGCTCCTGTATTTTGTTTCTTCCTTGTGTCTGAACGACTATAGTCCACATATTCTTGAGATGGGCAGAGTGAAAGTGTTTGGACGGCTGAAGTGAGTGTAGAGAGCATCTCTCAACGCAGGCACATTCTCTGAATCTCACGGACCCATTTTCTCATATTTCTCGCATTTCTCGAGGATCTTTAGTCATCCTCTGAAGGGCATTCTTGTCTGCGTGAGGGATTGGGAGGGGAGTGGGTAAGATGCGATTGGAAGGGTAAGAAAAGAGAGAAAGAACTGTGGAAGGGGGACATGTATAAACAGAGAGAGAGAGAGAGAGAGAGAGAGGGGAGAGAGGAAGCAGGGACAAGAGAGAGAGAGAGAGAGAGAGAGAGAGAGAGAGATAGCTAGACAGACAGATATAAAGGTGGACGAGAGAGAGAGAGAGAGAGAGAGAGAGAGAGAGAGAGAGGGAAAAAAGAGAGAAAGAGAGAGAAATTAAGAGAGATAGCTATAGACAGACATAGATGGCGTGGATGAGAGAGAAAGAGAGAGAGAGACAGACAGACAGTGATGGGGTGGATGAGAGAGGGAGAAGGAAATAGAGATGGACAACATAACAAAACCTCAGGCAGGCATCTATTGAAAGTGAACAGAAAGGTGTTTAAAGAGAAAGACATGACTATTTTTCAAGAAAAGGTTGAGAAGGAGAAGAAGAAGATGATGAAGAAGAAGACAGAAGACAGAGGAGAAGAAGAAGATGAAGGAGGATGAGGAGGAAAAAAGAGAGAAGAAGAAGAAAGAAGGAAAATGAGAACAAGAGAGAAGAAGAAGATAGAAGGAAAAGGAGAAGAAGAACGGACAAAGAAAAGGGAGAAGAAAATGAAGAAGGGAAGGAAGTAGAGGAGGAGAATAAGAATAAAAAAGAGAAGAACAAGATGTAGGAAATGGGGAGGTTGAGAAGAATGAGAATAAGATGGAGAAAGAAGAAGAAAGGATGGAGACAGTTAACATTAGAGTCTCAAATCAGAAGGCATCCCTCATCACAGTGGCAGTGTAGAAATGTTATCATACTTCTCTTTTTTCAAGAGCACCTCATATCAATAACATTGCACATGGGTTCTATGATTGAGGGGGGGGGGGGGGCTGGTGTCATGGTGGTGGTGGTGGGGGGGGGGGGGGGGGCCTCATACCCAGATGTAACTACGTCACTGCCTTATAGTAATTGATCACCTGTAAGGTGTATGGACTCGCTCTAGTAATGGATGCATCCATTATTGTACATGATATCACAGATGGTAGTGCCATACACTATACCCAGCTTGGATGCTATTTTACTCTTGTGCGATGCCTTATACCAATTTTCAGTAAAAGGCATTGTTAATATGGGCTTCCCAATCATAATTAATGTTGAACATAGTATCATTTTACCATTTGTTTATGAATGCATTTTAAGTATTATTGTCTTGTTCATAGTTACTAATAATATTACTGTTTCAAAAATAATATCGCTAGTGACATTCGTTTGTCTCTCAATGTATGGTCAACAAGGGACCTAAAAGATCATGACGTTTCGTGTGCCGCTGCTACACTTCAGGTGATAAAATATATTGTAAGCAAGCGTGTTTTATACTCTACGGATGGACCAGCGGTAAAATATTACTGTTAATGTTTTACTACAGCCTTACATTTCCTTTAAAGTCTATGGGGGTTGCATCAATTGAGAAGTAATAGTAATAATGAAATTCTGCATTTATGATCGATGGTTGTAAATTAGGAGGAGGAATAAGAGGCAGCAGAGAGAGACATCCGGATATCGGGTGAAGATCTTTGGTACAGAGAAAATAGGTGAAAATAAGCCTGCATGTATAATACAGGAATAGAAGAGAGAGATTGAGAGAGAGATAGAGAAAGAGATAGAGAGAGTGAGAGAGAGAGAGAGAGACTGAGAGGGAGAGAGAGAGAGACAGAAGAGATGAAAAGGAAAACAAAAGATGATATTAAAATACACAAGTCAGGTATTCATGTATTCACATATACCTCTCGTTTGTGATATCTTTTTACCATTTAGGGAAACACATACACACATAAAATTGTATTGAGAGAGAGAGAGAGAGAGAGAGAGAAAATAAGAGAAATAAAAAGAGAACGAAAAAGGGAGAGAAAGAAAAAGAGGGGGGTAGGGGTAGAAAGGGAAGATAAGAGATGATAATAGAAATGGAAGAAATTAATATATTCGCATATCGCTCATTCTGGGTCACTTATTACATGGGAGGTATCAAGTTTACCGGTGGTTACCATGGCGATAGTACGCCAGTCATCACTCTGACACCTCTGCATCATCTCTGCAAAGTGGGATGGGGGTCCCGAGGGAAATCAGATGATAGTGGGATGGTGACAAGAGAGATGAGAAAAGAGCAAGAGAGAGAGAGAGAGGGAGTGAGAGATTAGAAATTAGAGAGAGGGAGAGAGAGAGAGAGATGAGAAAAGAGACAGTGAGACAGAGACAGAGAGAGAGAGAGAGAGCGCGCGTGTGCGATCCAAATGGGCAAGGAAAGACAGGAGATACAGAGGAGAAGGGAGAGAAGGTGAAATGATGAGCAGGGAGGGGTGAAGATAGATGCATGTGCAATTAGAAAAGTAGAGAGATGGTGTGTGAGAGAGAGAGAGAGAGAGAGAGAGAGAGAGAGAGAGAGAGAGTGTGTGCATGATCCAAAGTGGCAAGGAAAGACATGAGATACAGAGAAGGAAGATAAGGTGAAATGATGAAAGGAGACTGGAAAAGATAGATATAGATATATGTGCAATTAGA